GTTAACCCTTCAAGGACACTTGGGAGGGGGAGAGCTTTTTTTTTTTCTTCCCTTTCTCTCCTCTTCCCCCCACCCTCCCCACCCCTGCCAGCTGTTATCATGGAGCCCAGTTGGTAACCTCCTTATCTTAGACATGTAGCCTTCTCTGTGAAGCCCCAGCTCAAAGCCAGAGGCCTTGTTTTACATATTTTGTGAAAAACTAGTAAGGGGGTGTCTAGCTTTTGGAGTGCTGATTTTTCCAGCCAGTGACCAAGTAAAACAGGGCAACAGGAAAATAGGAAGTTTATCTACATTGAACTTTTTGTAGAGATTCTTTTACTGAAAGTCCTAAAATCAGCCATGGTGAAGATTTCTGGAGAAGGTCAGTTAAGCCTTTTCTGTGGGCCTGGGTAAGGAGGGGAAGATGGGAAGGTGGGGCTGAGAGCAGCTCGGTGGATCTGAGAATGAGGAAGGAGTGATGTAAAAGAATAGGATTTTCCCTAGCAAGGAAAACTTGAGCAGCAGAACAGGTAGAGCAGAGGGGAGGATGGGAGTGAATATCCCAAAAAAGCCTGTAAGGGACAATTCTTAGTAACCTGTTTTCAGTGATGACAAAGCAACTTTAAAGGCCATTTTCACCAGATCTCTGATAGGGGTCCAAGGGCTCTCCTCAGTTGGTTTGAGCTTTGGGTTAGCTGGTAAGAGGACCTGGTGGGACCCGGTGTGGGCACTGACAGGAGAAGAGAGGAGTGAGTGGGTGAAGGGATTCCTTCAGTACTTGCTACCTCAGAAAAGAGGCAATGTTTTGAGGAAAGATGGTTGTTTAGGTTTTTGATCTAGTGAGCGGAGAGGAGAAGTCAGGTTGTTCAGGTGGGGGAGATAGTGGAGGGGCTGGGGCAGAAGGTTGAGGATGAGGAGCTATTTGAGCTGGGCGATAGGGTGGAAATTCATCAGGAGGGTCAAAAGTAGTGGATGAGTCCAGAGGAGGAGGAGATTGGGGATCAGTGGTTGTGGGTGTTGGTTTGCAAGCTAGAAGAATTTGCAGAGGTCTGCAAGAGGTGCAGAGAGCACAAGCAAGAAGAAAGCTTTGATATAGCAGCTTTTTATCCATTTTTTCAAATGCTCACAATAATTGTAGAGATCCCTTAGAATGGAGGGATCCAGGGACCCAAAAGGGGGGCCATCTGCTTTGGTTGTCTAAGGGATAAGTGGGCCAGGCCTGGGTGCTATATTTGATCAATTTTGGGGGTTTGATGTCTGGTGTCAAGGAGAGGGTTTTGAGGTTATCCAAGAGGCATTGTAGGGGAGAGTCGACTGGCAGAGAGGACACATTATCCATGTCGCAAAGTAGTATAAGGAGGAGGGAAGGGGATGCAAACTTGGTATAGAGGAGAAGGAAGGAGACACAACCGTAGTATAAGAGAGAAGGAGGAAACTGATTTATTGGCAAAAGGGGTGTCCCCGCTAGAGCCAAAAATCAGGAGTGCCTTAGTGGCAGGTTCGAGCTGCAGAGATTGGTCGTCACCGAATCCTGACAGTCGAAGCTCTCGTCCTGGACGGAGCCGGAGCCGTGGGAGACCTTGGCCAAGGCTTTTCTTTTCGGGACCCCTCCTGGAGAGGCCGGAGACTTGCAGAGCCGGAAAGGGGAAAGAGAGAGACAGGGGAAGAGGGAGGAAGGGGAGGGTAAAGTTCTCTCTAGCAGCCGAGTCTTGAAGGTGTGAGGACTAGGATTTTAGGAGAGCCACAGAAATGGTGAAGGTCTGGGTGGACTGTGAGTTTCAGTTCTCTGTTATGTGTCCCTGGAGGTTACACAGTCCTTGAGGGAGACCTATAAAGCCTATGCCGGTAACTAATAGCTGGGAAGGGAAGGGAATAATTTTGAACCCAGGAGTCTATTCTGCCCTAGGAAGGAGTCCCTGAGGGCCACCGTAGCCTTAAAGGCTGTGGTGGGGTGTTTTCCTCCCCACAGGTGGGCAAAGAGGTTTGCCGGACAATCAACGGCCAAATCCTCCTGACACCACCACTGGGTTTAGGACTCCAGGAAGGGGAAACTCACCAATCGAAGGTCGGTGGTGGATGGAGTTCTGGCAGTCGAGAAAATGGGTTCAGGCCTGGGTTCAGGCCATCCGGTGAGTGGCACTTCCGAAGGAAGAGGGACCCAAAAGTGGGTTTTAACCCTCTCCCGGGTTTCGGCACCAATGAAAGGAAAGTGACCACAACACTCGGAGCAACCAAAAGATCTTTA